AATAATAAGCAAATGGAAAGAAATACGACGGATGGTAACTTCAATAACTCTGAAGAATAGTGGAATTAGGGGAGAGCACTTTGCCTAGATATTGTTGCTATCAACAATGCAAAATGGCGGCGGTTATTTGATCACAGGCTGATTTTCTCGGTGGAATAACATCAGTATTTGCAGAAACGTAGATAAACATCTTAGAAAGGACCACTGCATTATTTAAAATGGCTGCTTCTCTTCGTGGCCTCAGCCCTGTGCTGAAAGAATACCTCAGAGTCAACAGGATGCCTGATATTTATGAGGTGTGAAAGACTCTTTAGTTTTAGTTTGTTATATTGGGCTTGGGATATTCACCGTGCCGTACCTCCTATTTTTATTTCGAATGCTGATAATATTAGACTTTAATTATAGTTTTGATTTTTTAAAATTATAATCTTGTATACCTCTAACTGTTTAGATCTATATAACTGCAAATGGATTTCTATGCTGTAGGACTAGGTAAAATAAGGAGGAATGGGATAAAGACCCGGGGGATCGTTTTCCTATCACACCAAACAAAACAAAAAAAGTGTTTAAGTTAATTAAAAAAGAAAAATTTCTCCCTCTGTGATGAAATCCATTGATGTGGTTAGTCTGAGCGTTATACCTCTGGTGATGATTAGGAGAAGAATATAGAAAAAAAGGTTCTTGATCTGTTCACTTAATTTCTGTCTTTTTATTTGTCAAAGAAAGATCTTCTGAAACGTAGATTAACAATGTGTACCTTTAATTGTTTGTGGAGGCCATTAGGCCTATTTAAAGGAACAGCAGGATCATAAGCACAACTAAGATGTTAATCTTTGTATATCAATATTTTGAGCATAATAATACAACAATGATACATCAGTAGTCATTATATTTAAACTAATGATTTTTAAAAGTTAATATAGAGATCAGCTCCAAATTAATAATTGAGATGGTATATTATTTAGATGTCGTGTGGCTTCTTACAGGTCTAAAACTGGCCATTGATTAATGTACCTGATATATGATTATAATGGCCCTCACATGTTAGACAGAGTATTGAAATCAAATGCAAATTTGTGATGCTTGTGAAATGATCGCATCTGTTTCTGTAGAATAAAAATTGAACTTCTGATATATTTAGATTTAAAATTAATGTTAATTTAATGTAAATTGAAGTACTATTTGTTGTCTCCAGGCTTTGCTGACCGGACTGTCTATCATGTGCCCTGAAGATTACCTCACGTTCATTCTGGAGAAGCTCATGTTCCTCAAGGAGAACGGGCTCGGCACCCTGGCATGGTCTGAGATTTCTCATGTTTTCCACTTCTTGAATCATTGTTTCTTTAGCTTATAGCGCACAGATGTATGTGGAAAAGAGGATGTGTGAGGGAAGAGTATGTGTGTTTATGGGTGTGTACATGTGTGTGTGTGCATGTTTGTGTGTGTGTGTGTGTGTGTGTGTGTGTGTGTGTGTGTGCGTGTGTGTGTAGTCTATGTGTGCCTACATGGTGAAACACCAAACCAATGTGCCAGGATCTAGACAATAAAGGTGTATCTTATCTTTTAATCTTTTCTTGGCTTAGAATGTCTAGGTGTATGAAGAACCCATACCTAAGGTTATAAACAGGAAGAAATATAAGAAAAAGGAAGAGAGATGTATGACCCACTTGTCCCATAAAATATCTATGTCTCACTATTTTTCGAATTGGTGGCTTTTTTTTTTAACCGTATCTCAGTTGTCCTGAATTAAAAAAACATGTTATTAAAGTCTAATCGTGGGGATTAGAGGGCATCTTTTTTCAAATGAGAGCTTATCAAGTCAAACATAAGTACAAGCTCTGTTTTGAGAGAGCCCAAATTCATTTTTAAACAAACAGGTCAAAATGTAAATAAAATGTAATGAACTTGTGCTTTACTGCTATTTTAATTGAGAAAGAGGTCCAGAGATACAATAAACGTCAACTTTGGTGAAGATCAAGATTGAACCTAGTCAGCTTTTTGGGGCTCCAGCACATTGTAAATTTCTGTGACTTAAAAGACATAATATACTTTACAATCATAGCTCTTAGGGCGCTTTTTCTGGTCTTATTTTTTATATAGATGTTGTTGTTGTTGTTGTTGTTGTTGTTGTTATCGATCCAGCAACAGCTGGGCTCTCGCCCTTCTGTCCAATGCCATGTAGTGATAAGTGCAGGTCTACTGCAGTTGCTGTAATGTTCCATAGAGTGTGTTGTCAACGTTAGGTCTCGGAGGGAGAAGGGTAGCTCTGATGTCATTTAGGGCTTTACAGTGGAAAAGGTTTATATAGATAAGTACATGTATTTTTCACAACCCATTCTTTAACTTTGTCTTGGTGCTTTCAGGGACATGTTTATCGAGGAAGAGATGAAACCAAAGATGAAGATAGTGTCTGAGAGTAATCTGGATATGATCTTTAACTTTGAGGAGTGGCTCATAGTAAGTTTTTTCCAGCTGAAGATTGTGTTAATGTTGCTCCTGGCTTAGCATCATTGTCCTTTGCTATTTTGGTTTAAAAGACACTATCCTTCACCATATTCTTGTCAATAGCCATTACTGGCGTTCTTCTTAGTACTTGTAATTATACATGGTTAAGGGGAATTGATGCTCATGGCATTTCATATATGGGGGTCCAATGGGGGGTGTGGGGGGGGGAGATGAAGTATCTAAGTTACAGGTATTATATCTCTGCTTTGGAGATCTTTGACGTGACTACAAACTGAAAAGAGAAAAGATTCAAAGCTTTCCTCTGATGGATTTCAGAAATGAATGTAATCAAGAAAAAATACTTAGTGAATGTAGAATTTTTTTTTAAATTCCTGTCAATTTGTGCAAGGAAAGCATTACAAAGTAAAAGTTGAGTTCGACATTTTTAATTACGTCAATTTAAAATGTACATATTATTATATTCGTCTTGATCTTTAATATTTCCTCCACAGCCAACACCAGAGATGTACGCAACAGCATATGACCACTACAACTTTAAACTAAAAGAAATGTGTTTCTGGTAAGTCTTCTCTTGTTACATGTACATGTGCAATGAGCTGTGTGAAGATGAGGCTGAAAGAATTGATTTATTAGAAATTCATCTTAAAATTAATCCTTGATTGTTCCTCTTTAAAGTTTTACTCATACAAAAAAATGCATTTCGATTTTCACTTGAAGGTCTGGGCAGCTTTTCCTGTAGACAAAACTATAATATCCTCACTGCAAACTAGAATATTTTGGTAATGTTTTCCATGTTCTATACAATTGGTGCTTTAAAAGTTGAGGTCTTCTGTCTTTTAAAATTTTCATTTCTTTCAATTTTCCACTTTATTTCTCTCTTCTTCTTCTTTGTTTCTCGTCCTCATTGGCCATTTTGTAATAAAACTTTATGGTTTTGTTGCTTCTCCATATTAAAAAAAATCTGTTTTGACTTGCCCTCCATTTCCATTTCATTGCTTTATTATAACTTCCGTAGCTACATATGTATAAAATCAAAGGTAAACTTTTAAAAAACATATTACTTAGCGATGGTTTCCTATATTAGTCAATGAAAATAGAGTTTTACCTGCGTGTATCATGTTTCCCTTCAGTGCAATGCTACAATATCACCTGATGCAGAAAAGAAAGCAGGAAGCTTTACAAGAAAGAATCAACATGGCCGTCAAGCACCACTGTAACAGAATGCTCCGAGTGCATGTACAGATATGGAAGGTAGGCTATGACAAGCATCTTTTTATTTAGATGGAGGACCACGAAAGCTAGCGCACTCATTGATTTTTTTTTTTTTTTACTCGAAAACATTATTTAATAGGTTTGTAACATTGGAAAATACCACAGAAATAGCTTCAAATACAACATTTATTGGTTAAATTAGGGAGCATCTATTCAGTGTTCAAATATAAGAATAGTCAAAATAAATAAAAACTCACAGATTTGAATATAGAAAAGAAATACATGACATGTGCGTTTTTTCTAGTTTAACCTCATAAGAACTGTATGTCTTCTGTCTATTTTTGTCATTCAAATACCTATAACCTGTGGCATAGTATAGCTTGCAGAGAAGGTCAAGGAATCTTGGTTGTGTCATCTCTCCAGGCAGTTTTCCCCTGAGGTCTATCCTCATGGCTTCTAAGTAATGTTCTGTTTTCATCTTCAAAAAGGAAAAAAAAATCATTATATTTAATTTGAATTAATGTTTGACAGTACTTACTACAATGTGTTGAACCCCATACTGCAAAACATAACAATATCTGTTTTTGTTTCAGGCTTGGGTCAAGTACAGGAAAGGAAGACAAGCGAGTGAGTGGAGGTTGTGTATGAGGAGGGCAAGCTGACCAGGGGGTCTCTGGGAGCTGAAGGGCTGTTACTTATTTATCCTCCTGTTACTGATGTACCCGCTCTTCATCTGTGCACTATTGGTCTTTGGTGTTCTCTTCTATGAAAAGAAGAGGGAGGCCTTTTACTTCTTTGTTGTGGCCCGGATGTTCTCAGCTTTACATAACAGTTATTATTACTTTTAGATTGCAGCAGGATATTCTCATTTCTTCAAGAGGGCGAAATAGGGAGAGAGTTAAAGAAAAGGGGTCAGCTGATGAATGAATGAGTATGTTGTTATGAAGAGTTATGATACAAATGTGGTATTTTTGATAGATTGTCTGAACTCCGTCATTGAATTATGTATGATTTTTCAAGTATGAGCAAAATATACTTTTAAGAGATTCAATTTTGCGTCGAAAGATTTTTATTTGTTGGTTATGAGCGTTGAGTCCTTTTTGTGGGGCTGTTGTTACTCATACTGTGCCGGAACAACATAGAGGGAACTGCTGCTTTTTCTTTCCTTATCCTCACTATCGTCATTTTTCCTCTACTTCTTTTGTTTGTTTGTCACTCTCTTGGGAACTGCTATTTCCGGGGTGCCTTGATAATCGAAGCAGACTTTGTACAGTTGAGGCTAGTGAGATGAGCAGAGTAAGCCTGATTCCCCATTTGGACTTCTCTGTTGACATCCGCCCCTTGGCGCTCATATGACCTTATGCGTTTTACGAGCGCCGTAAAACCTTACTAAAACTAAAACCTCTATTTTTTTCACCTTTCAGTGTCGTTCCAGAAAATCCAACACGTGTATCATGTGTCTGTCGGGCGCGTCATTTTTGAAGCCTGGTACAAACACACTCTGGAAGCCCGTAAACAGAGGGAATACTTTGAGGTAAGCCTAATGTGGGTTGAAAAGACATCAAGTGAAAAATTATCAGGCATTGTCTATGTCTTGAATTTTATCCTCTCATGTGAGTACAACCTCTTAATTAATCTTCTGAAAGGTGTGATGGATGGTCCCTGTATTAAATCACTCCTGTAATAATGATTTAGTTCTGTTCTTTCTCTTTTTTATCAATGTCTTTTCATTCTTATTAATCCAAGATGAGAAAGTGTAAGGATTTGTAGTTTTGACTGTAGCTGTTAAAAGTCCATATATATAAAAGAGGGGATGGGGGTATAGTTTGAGTGAGGAAAAGTTGAATATAATATAAGGCCCAGTCACATCAAATTTGGTCTGAGGTAGGGAACAATCGTCGAAAGAATATATTTGATAGTTTCCACGTTAATAAAGCATAAAAGACTGACAGGGAATGGAAGTAGTTGAAGTGTCTCTCTGTCTGTCTTGATTGTCTGTCTGTATGTCTTTTAAAAATGTCCCTCTTTCTCCCGTATGCTGTCTCAGTGTCTGTTTGTGGGTAACGATGTTATTATGCTTTTTCCTTGTCATGTGATCTGTGACAAAATACCGCAGTGCAAAATTTATGTATCATGATGTCTTTTCAAAAGCTTCATGGTCTCTCTTTGCTTCTATTTCTGTCTTCTTATTTTGTCTTGGAGTACTGACATTACCAAATAAAATAGGAGAAAAAAAAATGTATCAGTCTCTATGTCTGTTTGGGAACTGTATCATTTTCATTTTCTTTACGCTCCCATCATTTTTGCATTGTTGTTTTTCTTCCTTTCTTTGCTGCTTTTTTTTCCACTAATGGACCAATGTTGTGTCCATGTGCCTCTCTTTACTCAAGTAAAATGTTATAGGTACATTTCCTCTTCAACAGCTCCATCCATTTACTTTACAACCTTACTTCCAATTCAGCACACGTCTCTTACTTTCATCAGTGTCATAAGCATAAAACTGTAGTATGTTTCTGTTCAGACTTCAAATGGAATGGGTAATGAGATCATTTTGTGGCATGAATGTCACCGAATGTGTGTGTGTGTGTGTAGCATGTTAAATTACTGAAATCATTATCACTCACTTTCTCATCAGTCTGTGATACTAAGAATATACGGTCAGCTGTTGTTTGCTCTACATTGTTAAGATGTAATATATTGCTTTATCCATGTGGAGTTGGTAGTGAGCACTATTGTTTCGTAATGTTCTTGTTTTACTGATGTTGATGGTGATACCTGCCTGTTTGGTATTATCTACAGTCCAGAAATGTTGTTCTTCACTTTTCACATTTATTTTGTTTATGGCAAATTATTATTCTCAACGTTTGAAGACAGTAAAATCAAGTCAGCCTACTCTTTTTCACATTGAAATTATTATTTTGAACATTTGAAGACAGTAAAATTAAGTCAGCCTACTCTTTTTCACGTTTAGAGCATGGATGTAGCACTGGAACCGTCGATGAGAGAATTGAAGAACGCCATGTCAACAACATTTATATTTTTGTTGTTGTGAAGGGCAGGCATGGCTCAGATTCAGATGGCAGTTGTTTGTGTCATGTGCACAGAATATACGGAATAACATTCTAAGACAACATTTCCACATATGACAATGACAATGACAATGAGAATCTTTATTCATCTCGCAGGGAGAAATTTGTCTTAGTCGTTTACAATGGCAGTAGACGTTACTAAGGTTATGTGCACTCATGCATACGCACAACAAGACAGGACATTAGTAAATACATGTCTCACATGCTGGAACAACCCGCTCCGTAAAACATTATCTCTCTTCCCCTCTCTCTCTCTCTCTCTCTCTCTCTCTCTCTCTCTCTCTCTCTCTCTCTCTGTTTCATTTGTAGCAATTTGTGGGAAACATTCCGAACAAATCTGCCATTTTACAGTTGTGAAATGTACCGTTGTGTTGTGAGTTAGTGTTGTGTGTCCACTTTGTCGCGAGCAGCAAAAACAGAGAGAACAATGGGAAGCAAGTTTACTGCACAAGGTAAACCGAAGCCCTGCACAACTGAAATCCGAATATCAATTTATTTATTTTCGCACGATTGTAAACTTGATAAAAATACATTTTAAAATTTCAGGTGTCTTACCTCATGGGTTTCCTTATATCCTTATAGCTGATATGAAGGTTGGAGTTCTAGTGATGAAAAAAACCAAAACTTTCCTTCAAAAATTTTCGTAAAACGTTAGTTCACTCTTGGTCCATACCTTGAAAATACTCTTTTTGGTTTCATCCAAACTGTGTTTTCTGTATATTTTACATGATGGATTTTAAGTACAAGCAAACCTAGTATTTTCATTTCAGAACATACATACATGTACTATTTTCCAGTATACTTTCCTGTCCAGTGTAGCTGGCTGTCTTAAATTTGTGGAAGAACTTTGAAAGATAGCTAAATCAGATACTGTGAAAGCATTTTTTTGTTCTTTCACCAAGAAATTTAATTATGCCTGCACACTCTGATATTTATTCTTACTTTGTCCCTTCTGAATATTGACTCAGTGTAGAACTGCAAACTGTTTGTAAGGGTGACACATCATAATATGCTTCTTGCATGTTTCTCTTTCAAGTCTTATTTCACACACCCAGTAATTGTGTGCGCAGCAGTGATTATTATCTCCATGATTGGTAAGAGTCTGAGGGGGCTACTTCAATACTATATAATCTCCCTTTGTTGCTATTTTCTATCTATTTTTTTCCGTGTTCCTCTCTCTGGCTCAAAAACAAAAGCTATCTCCTCTGATAAGGGAAGTGTTCCTTGAACGTCTGCATCTTCTGTGTTTGCAGACCTTTTTTCTCTCACTACTGCTGCAAATAGTCAGCAAAGATGATCCTTTGGAAGACTTTGACACTTTCAGTACCGTCGGCGAGTTTAGTTGCCAGGCCGTAGTATGTGCTCTCTACATTTAGTCGCCGACGCAACCATGCACACTAAACATAATTAAACAACGAATAGACACACTGCATTGAAGTAAATACAAAAGGAAGTCACTCTATATGATAGCTGAATGGTTGATGAACCTCTGAATTTTTAAAGCGAGTTTCTTCGGCTGCCAAGGCTTTTCTTATTAAAAAAAAATCTACCACGGCTTCAGCGTTCTAAACTTATTGTGCGGTACCCAAGGGTTTTTCACTATGTGAGCCTTCAGTACTGTAAGTGTTAAGAGTTGCTGGTGCTGTGCCAGCTGTAGCCAGGGTGAGCTCACCACAGTGTGGGATGGCCGCGTGACCTTTGAGGATTTGTGGGTGGAGTGGGTAGACAGCGCAGTGCTAGAGCCAAAAGACAATAAAACTGGGTGACATGTGGTTCAATTAATGCGGATGGTGGCAGTGTGTTTTTCATGATCTCTGCTGATTGGGATATGAGTGTTGGTCTAGTCATGATTGACATTTACGTCTAGTTAGTTTTTATTTTTGATTATGCTGAGCTATGATGTGTGTAGTTCTGGTTTTAATCATAATCATAATCTATGAAACCTAAAACAATGGGTGAGAGGGCATTTGAATACCAAGGCCCCAAGATATGGAATGCGTTACCAAGTACTTTAAGAGAATTCAAATCTTTTAATTCCTTCAAACATCAGCTGAAGTCGTTTGTTTAAAAATGATTAAGATGAATATTTGGAGTGATTTTCTTTTAGTCAGAACACAACGATTTATGTTACTGTTGTACGTTTTATTGTATTGTAAAGCGCTCAGAGCCTGCATACCTTAATCGGGGTTGAGCGCTATATAAATGTCATTTATTTTTATTATTATTATTATTATTATTGTTGTTGTTATAATAATAATAATAATAGTAATAATAATAATAATTATTATTATTATTGTTGTTACTATTATTATTATTATTATTATTATTATTATTGCTATTAATATTATTGTTATTATTATTATTGTTATTATTATTTTTTAAATTATTATTATTATTATCATTATTATTATAATTAGGCTTTCTTGACCTTTAGTTGTTTGGGGAGTTTCAACGGCTCTCCAGTCAGTCACTTGGCACAGTTCTTTTGGAGAAGGAGGACAATTTCTGAGATTCTGTCTCTATAAAATGTTATAGTGTTGAAAGGAAAACATACCCTTTCAATGACCAGAATTTCTCTTTTCTTCCTAGCTTTTGTTAGATAAATTTGTCCTCTGGCAGTTTTTAAAATAAAGTATCAGTGGGTTTTTTCTTTTTTTTCTTTCCAGTAGTTATTGTTGTTCTTCTATGGTTACTGATCTAAGGTCAGAGGTCAAAAGAACCTTGTCTATTATTGTGTCAGACATATTTATTGCTGGATGACCAGCTTTAAGACTTATTTGAAAATATCACCCGTCTCTTCCAATCACCTTTTTATGACACTTTTGATGTTGTTGTAATTGTTGTTGTTTTTGCAGCTGCTGATGTTGTTGTTTTTGTTATTGCTGTTGTATCTGTTGTTGTTGTTGTTTTTGTTATTGCTGTTGTAACTGTTGTTGTTGTTGTTTTTGTTAAAGGTTAATCCAGGGAGACGAGTACCATTTTCTTTATAATGTTTAAAAAAATTCTCTTTCAAAGTTCATGCCTTTGAAAAAAGTTATTGTTTTGTCCAGAAAATCACCAGTTTAGAATTGATTGTGTGTGTACACTTCCATAGCTGTGGTGCCTGACACACCCCTTGGTATATGTAAGAGTGGAGGAAGGTCTTTAGTACGTGTGAACAAGCCCAACATGAGTGTTATAATACATCTATGGATCTGCTTAATTCTCTTTCTACTGTGATTTATCACCACATAATCAGAAACAAAATTCTCTGGAGTACCGAAAGGCTAATGGTATAATGTTGGTGGATGGCACAGGAGTTAAACATATGGTAAAGAATTTATATGTTTTCCAGTTTCTGTCTTCGGGGGAAGAAAACAAGGAATATAATAATATGTACAAATCTTCCGTTTGCAGGATATTGAGTCAATTAAAAGTTACTCAAAACTTTTACTTCACTAGCTTCCCAAAAATGTTATCATTATATTATTTTGAATATAGATCTAGTATCCATGAGGTAAATTCTCTTTTCCCTATTTTTTGTTTTGAGTAAACTTTAATTCTAAATTGCTTGGTTTTTGCTGTGGACAGATCATTTGCTCGGATATGTTCTTTCGAAAGAAGAGTAAAGAGCAGTTGATGGCAAAGCCCATGAATTTTTCTTCCTCCTGGAGCTCTCCGCGCCAGCTGGCTAGTGGCCTTATCGTGGGAGGAGACGATTCCTTGGCTGAGGGAGTAATTAAGAAACTTTTTTGTTACGTTTTCAAACCCCCATTGAAAGTGTAGAACTTTGTAAAGTAATCTTAGATTCTTTTAACAGAGAGTTTTTGAGTCTTACGAAACTTTTTTGTGCTCTGGACTTGCCTTGGTTAAAATAGTTCAGCTCGTTCATCGTCCAAGTGTTAACATTTACTTTTTTCTCTTAAAGATCTCCAACAGTCGGATTTTATTGTTAGATAAAAGCGTTTTAACAATTTAATAAGCTTTATTTTTTTCCAAAAGGTTTTGTCCTGTTGTAGAATGATTTTTTTTGTTTTTCAACTTCCCAAACTCACTCAGTTGTCATTTAACCTAATTCTTTGTCAGGTTCAGTTGTCTGAAATGACGGCTGTGATCGCTGCTTACTGTCTTCTAGAATTAAGCATGTGAGTCTTTTCAGTTATTTCAGGTTGTCTGACAGTTTCTCAGGAAGTTTTCTTGTTAATGAAATCATTGAGATTTTTATCCGCTTTGGGCATGTGCATATACCACTGTAGGCTACATTTTCTTTATAGTCTTTGTTTTCCTTACAAAGTAGAACTTAAAGACCTTCTTTAGTTTAATGCTAATAACTGAATTAAACATGGGAATAGGTGCGTTTGTTTCATCTTGAAGGCTAAAGATTGGCAGAAAAAGTGCTTTTGGTAAATATGAGTGGAGTGTGTCTGATAGAAAAGTGTACGGTGGATATTTGTTGGGGTGTAGGTGACAGGCAACTTCTTCACAGAGGAATCACAAACACTGCTCCGCAAGGCTGCTCATTCACTCACACTCACATTCTTTATTGGATCCTATGTTCACTTGATGGTCTCTTATGCTTTCGTCACAAAATTTCTCTCAGCGATATAGGGCAAATATTTTTTAAAAAATCAGTCTTCTGCTTGTGTGATGAGAAATGATAATCTGAATTTGCTTTTCGGTTGCACAATATTTGATTTTGTAGTGGATTGTGCCAGGAGTTAAATGCCGATTTTTACTTATGTGCATGTTCACTGAAGGACAATTGTACACTTGGTACTCGAACATGGTACATTATCTCTATTTGAGACTTTGAAAAAAACATCCTCAAAAATGTGCATGGAGACATCTGTTTTATTTTGCGTTTGATACTTTTTAGGGGAAGGACGTAGATTGCATAGAGAGAACAGGAGCAAGGATTATTGTACTAAAAGAACTTCTATTTGAGAAGGGAACCAAAATGATTTATCAGCGCATGTGACAACATCTATGATATTATAATGCATGGATTGTGGAGGATTCTTTTCAAGAAAGTGGACCATTTTGCAGCATGTAATATTCTATCTTTGTTGACGCCACAAAGTATGGACAGTGCCTTCGTCATCAACTTATTAACAATCTCACCATTTATAACACAGAACTGCATGCCTAGTTGATACTTTTCTTGTCATGAATTTATTTCTGTTGTTTTTTTTGCTGTGTCCATCATCAAGAGTAATGATGAACATTGCTGGTACTTTTGTAACTTATTTTTTCCTAGCCATAAAGTAATTAAGTATAACATATTCATTTACTTCAAAAGTGCAATACTGCATTAACATAATCAAAGTTGAACTTACTGATGAATGTCTCGTGTACATTTTAAAAAATCCAACTACTGTTTTTCTCATTACCATGTGTTGTGTTTCCGTTGCAACAGTTTATGTGTGGGCAGATCCTGAATAGCTCTGTTGGTATCACGCTGATATTCCAAAACTGAGTCATTATGAAGGAGTTTCACAATTTTTGATTCATTCAGTATTGCTGAAATGTTTTAACTTGCTTTACAGTCATCTTGTCTTCTCATGCATTAATTTTGAGTTGGTTCTTTTTTCAGATGTGATGTACATGGCATTTGTTGCTATTTGTTGATATGTCCTATAAATGGGAGATGTTGGACTCAAAATGTTAAATATGAACAGAACTTTATGTGCATCTATTTTCTTTTCCTTTGTTTTTTTCTGTCTGTCTTTCTTGCTTTTTCTCTATTTTCGATCAGCTTATCTTTACCCCTACTTGGAAAGAGCGAATCAACATTTTTAATAGGCACTGTATTTTATGTGCATACTTCTGCAGGTCTTTATAAGAACATTTTTTTTTTCTTATTAGTATCTTCATACCTTGTGCCTTGTTATCATGCTTTCTTTAACTTAAATTGAGATTTTAAAACATCTTGCTTATTAAAGGCTTAGTTCATTGATTAAATTTTAAATATTTGTTTTAAATCATGGGGGCCATAACTATGGAGTCAAAGCTTTCCTACAAACGGTAGCTAAAGTTTACACATGTCAACCTGTCTTGTGACAGAGATCAGAGCTAGGTTAACTCTTCATTAACATGTTTCCTTTCATTTCTACCTCCTGCTTTAATCCACCAGAAACTGAAGGTAATTCGGCTGGGTGCTGCTCAGTCTGGTGTGGCCGTTGGCTTTGCTCACCTCTGACTGCTCTATCAGCACAATGCTATCTTCACATCTGTAACCTTTGACTTTGACCTTTTGCAAACTGGCTGTGTCGTGTTGTGTGTCGTTGTCGTGTGTCAACACGAGCTGCTGATGTTGAGGTTCAGCTGGACATGTGCAGAGTGCTGTGACAACCATTAACATCAACACGTTTGTTCCAACTCTGTTTTGTGCTGTCTGTGAACACACCTTGTTTCTATCTCCTCTTGTTTTTCTTACTTTCTTTTTCTTCTCTTCTCATTTTTCTTTCATTTTGTCTTTCTTATTTTCTTTTTCTGTCTTTCTTATTTTCTTTTTCTGTCTTTCTTATTTTCTTTTTCTGTCTTTCTTATTTTCTTTTTCTGTCTTTCTTATTTTCTTTTTCTGTCTTTCTTATTTTCTTTTTCTGTCTTTCTTATTTTCTTTTTCTGTCTTTCTTATTTTCTTGTGAAAAAACAACAACAACAAATTAATAGAGTAACAAATTATCTTTTTAATGACAGAATGCAAAATATGTTGAGCAGTATTTTATGTAAATACAAATGGATACATTTCCAATATATGAAAAGTTAAAAACTTAATGTCTGATATTTTCAGTACTGTTGCTGTTAATGACTGAAAAGTATGGAACGATCAGGTTTTTTTCTGATTTATACTCTTTTCAACACAGGCCACATTCCGCAAGAGTTCATCTTCATCTACAGTCTTTCTTCCCCGTTCACGATCTACAGTAAACTTTGCCATTACCTTTTTTTTTAAAGACAACTCTCGTTTTTCTTGAAATTTTCCATCAGCGTATTGCCGAACACAATGTAACTTTTTGCCTTCATACTTCTATTCTGTTCATTGCTGAACTTTAAAAAAAATATTTTCACCTCAATTTATCTGCTTGCTTATCAGACAAAAGTAAGTGTGTGTGACTGATGATCCCAGTTGGTTGTTTCTGTCTTACCCCTGCCCTTTGATGTCACATGACGTAAAGTACCAAATGAAAGCCCTATGCTATATTGATGTCACATGACTTAAAGTACCAAATGAAAGCCCTATTCTATATTCCTGCCCTCTAGTTTCAAATAAGCTCAATAACAAAATATGAGTGTAATTGTTTCCTCATCCTTCGCCACATGACGTGAATAACAAAGTTATTTTCTATTATCCCCATCATTTAAATATCACATCACCTAATAAATAATGAAATCGACGTCTTAAAATCCCCCCCTGCAATTTCATGCCACCTGAAATTAAAAACAAAATTAATGCCTTACCCGAGCAATTTACAAAATGAACATAATACCTGTATTATCCTTGTCCTTAAATGTCATATGACTTTGAGAACTAAAGGAGCATCTTGTCCACAGGTCTCATGACCTAATTTACAAATAATTAATGTCTTTTCCCCATTCTTTAATGTCACATGACATAAACAACAGACTGGATGTCCAGTCCAAGCTGGTGTGGTTGATTGATGGTCACTATTGTTCTTCCGTGTCTTCTCCCTATCCTGTATTGTTACGTAAACCAAACAAAATTGACACAGTTAAAAATAATCCTCATCATTTTGCTGTTGTATACCCCTCTTGAACTTGGATTATCCAGCAGGGTTGCAGAAATATTGTCTTGTATAATCTATCTACACTACACGCGTCACTTGTTTTAATGACACTGAAACTGATGACCAGACAGTCATGTACACTATATACCGGTTGTTTGGGGGGGAGGGGGGGTGCAACTTTCTTTTGCTGTTGCTTCTGTCTATCTTTTCTTGCAGGAACTAAATGACTGTACATAGTCGTATCTATCTGCTTGTCTTTAAATCAACAAATGTGGAAATGATCAAACTGTTTTGTTTAATTTCTTTCACATCGATGATGATGTTCTTTTGTCAGATAAGAAAGTTGATTTTGATGTGTTCAGTCCCTATACTTTCGAACCAAGCCCCCCTTTGTCTGTGTTGGAAGTGTTAAGTCTCTGTGTGTATCTGTGTTGGAGTGGAGTGGTTATGGGTGGCCACAGCTCGTGCTGTGGGTGCTTCTTGATGTCTGCTCCTTGCCTTCTTTGGTTTACCCCCCCCTCCCTTTACTATACGTGAAGAACATTACACTTGTATACCTATTATGTCTCTCAAGTTTGTTTCTCTCTCTCTCTCTCTCTCTCTCTCTCTCTCTCTCTCTCTCTCTTATGCACACACATGTACACACACACACACACACAAATACACACACACTGCGCATACACCAAAAAGTATGCTCATTCACTCTCACTCATTCCTTGCTACACATAACTTGAGGAGTTAAACAAAACTTTTCAGCACACTCACGGAGAGGTACACTCTCACGGTTCCTACAAACATACTTGTTCACCTTCAAAAACCACTTTCCTATCTCAATATTCACATTTATCAAAACACTTGACAGATCTGGGAATATCTAGAAAAGTATTGTTTTTAGTAAGCATAATGCAAGTTGTGTGTTTTTTTCATGTTGTTGAAATCATAAACATGGTCAAGCTGAAATGTGTAACTCTATTGAAATAGCAGACATTGGATCATAACTTCTTTATAAAAATCTGTCAACAAATTAGCAAAGGTTCACAAAAGATAAAAAAAGCACAACTGTTTCTGACTTGATGCTCTTCCAAGCCTACTGCAACGACGACCTATTTGAGTGGAAGGTCGCAATATGTTGATACTATGATAATGTCTGATGGTTTCTGTGTAAATTTGTATCATGTATGATTGTACATATAATTATAATTATAATGGTAATTTCAAACAAATAGCGTGGGTGGTTGGCGGGTGCTCTGGTGTGGTTTGCTCCTATTTTCCTATCAAACATCTATCGTCCTGATCTCTCCTCCTTCTTTTTTGTGTTTGTTGCTTGCTTGTATTACCTCGGATCTTCGGCACTTTTATATGACTTTTTTGTGTTGCAAGTGCCATAAAACACTCACTAAAACTAAAACTAAAACTAAAAACAAATAGCTCCCTGATTACTATTGTATCATTTTACATTATAACAGCAGAAAGTAGCGAATATGCTCTTGGTGACTGTTCTGATTATGTACTGGCACAAGGAGATTATTTATATGAAATACCTGCTTTTGCTTTATTTATCTTTAAAATTAATCAATCAACTAGCTTATGTTTGTAATGGAATTGACTTGGGAGACATGGATTCTAAGCGTTTTGATTATGAGCACTGTATATATTTGCAGACAATATCTATTTTTACATGTTGGAGAACAAGCTGTGCTTATTACTACTTTAATGCGATGCAATAAATCAATAAAATATATATATATAATATATATATTTAACGATATGATATATTATAATGTAATATTCTCCGGTTTAATCCTCAGCCTATTCCTGTGACACCTACTGCTACTAACATAATGTTTGTCTTTGGCCCCACCCCCCTGTTGTGGCCAATCATTTTGTTGCACTCATGCTAATGACTTTTGCTTCCTTGTATTGTTTGTTTCTTTTGGTTTTGTTTTGATTTTGTTTTGGTTAGATTATTTGAAGGGGCTTTTTTTTCTTGTTTCTTGTTTGATAAGCTTTGTAATGTTGTGGGCATGGGACAAAGTGGCATGTTTTGAACCCTTTGCAAGCTGCTTTTGGCCATCCTCTTGGATGAGTTTCTGATTCAGCGTTTTAATTTTAGATGTTGATATTTTTGCTGTTTCATAGTGAGAAGTCCTTAAAATTAACCCTATCCGTGCGCACTCTGGTCATTTTGTACCCCCGGGGTTGTATTTTTCATATTTTAGAATACTTCTAGTGTGAAGATCTATTTGAAACGTTCAGTATTTCACAAAAATAATTTTCACAGACTGCTATGCAAAATGTACGGATCAGATTGAGGAGTAAATTTCCTCTTTGAAAGTCAAGTGGCACAAAGTTCCCCATGTCGTATGGATATGATAGTAAAACACAACGTGCGGGTAGGGTTTATAACGCTTCTTCTATCTGCCATTTGTTTAAGCTGTGAGAGAAAAGAACTCACTCAGAGAGTGTTAGATTCTGATATAGATGATGAACCATTTGAACACACAAAGACAAGTTCTTGGATATGGTTATTTTGTTATAATAATATTGAATTTGGAAATATCACTTAGATTTGAGAATGTGATCCAATTTATGGTAGGCCCTATATTTAAGTTTTTGATAAACCATTTTGTATTATTGGCTGCATCTACATAAGCGATGTAAGTTGCTGTTTGTCAACAGTTTATTTTTAGTTTCTGGAAATTACTATTCACTTATATTGGATACTGATAAAAAAAACCCCAGGAAAACACCCCCCAATGCAGACAAGAATTTAAACTTTTCTGCTGTCTGATCACTCAAAAAACAAAAGTTTTTGTAGAGAAAAAGTAAGTTGAAGATATGTGTCGCATAGATTGATTCAAGATAGGTTGAAAGATTTATAACAGGCTTATAATTTTTTAAAATAATAATATACACCATTTTTTTTCAGCAAAGCGATACCATTTTGACTGAAAATGATGAATTGTAACAGTGCACATAAATATTACATTTAGCTTCAAAAATATATATTTTATTGTGTATACCTCTTTCAGTGATGTTATTGTAAAAATAAATACAAGAAAAGAAGCATGTAGCTGACTGGGGTTTTTTTTTCTCATCTCGTTCAGCGTCTGGAGCGTGGAGAAAACATGGAGGACGACGACCTGTTTGGTCAGGGCACGGGGGAGGCCAGGGACAGTGTGTCCACTCTGCCCTGGAAGATTGCCATACAGGTAACTCAGAGATTGGTCTCACTCTGAGTTGTCACCACTGGGTTGCTTAACCCTATCCGTACGCCCTGTGGTCATTTTGAACCCCCGGAGTTGTTTTCTTCACATTTTAGAATACTTCTAATATGAAGATCTCTTTGAAACTTTCAGTATTTTTCAAAAAATCATTTTGACAGACTGCTATGCAAAGCGTACGGATCGGATTAACGACGAATAAATTTCCTCTTTGGAAAGTGGTGGCCAGAGTTCCCCACGTCGTATGGATACGATAGTAAAACATGACGTATGGATAGGGTTAATTGTACAAGACAGCTCATTTTATCACTGTCTGCTGTTTAAACATAAGGTTAGTCTTTAGGATTGCTCAAAATTATTCTGTTACCTACTTTGTTCTTTGTGTTATTGTAAAGCATATTGAGCACTTTCATAGTGGAAATGCACTACAAAAATGTAATGTCTTCTTATTTACTATTAGTATTATATTACAATATGTTCCTTTTCTTCTGTTATCTTCATTTTTTTGGCCTCCAAGGATTTTTTCCCGCACAAATTATTCTTCGAGCAAAATGAAAACCTTTTATTTAACCACCAGAGTCGATGATTTTTCTTCCTCAGATATTTAGCTACCTGGATGTGGCCGACATAGCCAACTGTGCGTGCGTGTGTCGCTTCTGGAAGGTTCTCACTCAGGCCAACTTGCTCTGGAGCAGGGTGAGTGCAGCGAGAGGGGGGGGGGGGGGGGTGGAGGAGGGGTGGAGGAGGGTGGTGGGTGGGGGAGGGGGGGGGGGAGGAAACAAAGGAACAATTAAATGTCTTTTCATATCATATCAAAACACAAAGAAAAAATCACTGAAGCAAAGAAGAACAGTATTATTCATTCCACAGAGGAATTCATTTGTGAAGCAGAGTGGTGAAATCAGGCACTCGTCAAAATAATGAAATTTAAGAAACTAGCATTTTTCCTATTGTGTTCCTGTCGAAATGCTCTTCAGGCTGAAGTCAAGGCGAATCAAAGATCTCATTTTATATAAGATGGTTCACGTCTCTTTTTGAAGTACAGACACAAATTTCCTCTGGCTACAACTCATGTAGGCATACTGCATTATTGCATGTTCAGTACTATAATAATAAAGGAAATGATGCATTTTTTACAAACAGATACTAGCAGCAAAGGTTGCTTTGAAAGAATTTCTTTTTGGGACATGAAACAAAGCGTCTTCTTTTGCACAACATGTGTATTTGTATGTGAATTGTTGAGGTCCCTGTCTTCAGAGAGGGAATCATGTTTTAGTCTACAATCTTTTTTTAGTTAATTGCATATGATAATATATTTTGTCTTGTTAAATTGTATTTTCTATATTATTTTATACCATACTGCATCATTTTTAATAGCCTTACTTGTTTGTATTGTGCTTTAATAAAATTTTGATGTCAATTTCCGACTTTCTCAGATCAACTTCTGTAACGTACAGAAAAGGTAAGTGCCCTTCATAGACGTCTAAATGAATAACCTTTGTTTTCTCCTTCTTGACTTCTGAGGATGTTCCAATTTCAAACCTTAAGAAAACAGAACTGTGCTAGTAGATTGTAGAATTTGGAAATGTTCCACTTTCTTGTTTGGTTTTCCTTTCAAATAGTTGTGGACTTCGAAAAAAGTTTGTGTTGTTTGTTAGCCACGGTTTCTGTCTATAGGGCCTACTATTTCTATTTCTTTGGAACTTTCTCTCGACATAGTTGGGGTTCTCTTTTATCTATTTCATTTGAACAATTGGTAGAAATCAGGTGTTTGTAGAGATGTCATTTCTGTCATGTAAGTGTAAGAAATATCTTTTTGATATTGTACTTTCTGGTATGTGTAAAGATGGTCAGTGGAATGTGTTGTTCTGTAGACTGATCTGTTCTTGCAGATATTTTTTTTTTCTCCTCAAAATTTTGTTTTGCTGCATTTATGTAATATTCCTATTCTTTTCTCAAACTTGATCACAATAATATGTGTCACGACACCGTGATATCACACGCTCGTCAATTTTTGGGCATAGAGTTATTGGTATACACTTAAAGCCTATTCCTTTGCCTTGCTTTCGACGAAATATACCCTTGAGAGTTCTTAAAAACTGAAAATGTATAGTTTTTGTGCCTTTAATCAACATTTTTCGGTAAAATCCACACAGAAATTTTTAAAAATGGACATAAAAGATGTTGTGCCAAAAAAACATAAAATTCGATAGTAATTGCCAAACCATCAGAAAAATGACGGTTTCTTCGATTTCATTATTTTGACGAGCGCCTGACTTCACCACGATGCCTCACATATCAGGATGTCTTTGGTGCAATGGTTTATTTATTGCACACAGAAGGTGCAAGTTTTTCCCTAGTGGGGAAGTTATTTCATGGAATATCTTTGTCTGGTTGTTGGTATGTTGTATCCCAGGCGGCTCAGGTTGGCTTTACATTTGACAAGCAGGTTTCATTCATTACATCCCATTCTGACTCCCAAATTTTCTGCCATGGTATAATATTTGAACAATTGAGTCGAAGGAATTGATAATTTGCTCCAAATTCTGCCTTCCTATTTCCATGACTCAAATATCACTATTGTTTTCTAATATTGTTTTTGTACAGACTACAGCATGGGTAAACTCTATTTCATCTTTTTCTCTTTTTTTCGTCCTTACCGAACTATTGGTTTTGTACAGTGTGTACGGTACATGTGGTCGCTTTTAAGCACAAGCGGGGTACCCCGGAAAATGCTGTTTTGAGAAAATTGAAGGTAAAGTTTTTGGACCCAAGAAGTCTATCTTTAAAAGACAAGGAAGGTTTTCTCTATAACTAAATAAATATACACACCATTGAAACCAAACTTCTCCTATAGGTAGGCAATGCCCACTTTTGGTGTAGGTCAAGATTTCTGGAAACCCCTAAAATCTGGGTTAGCCCGCTTGTCCTGAAAAGCGACCATGTATGCTTCGTCTTTCATTTCGCAATGTTGTCTGTACCTGTTGTGAGCCCATAAAAGAGTTGTAGGAAAGTTTGTGTGTCTGATGTGGCAGTTATAGCCAGAGTTAGTTATTTAGGGAGGGAAGAGGGGGGAGGGGGGAGCTTACTGGAGGGGACAAGTTAAGAGGTGGGATGAGAAGAGAATGAGGTAAGTAGGGAGGGAGAGAGAAAGTGGAAAGTGTGTGGGGCAGGTGGGTTTGTTTGTTTTGTTTGTTTGTTTGTTTGTTTGTTTGTTTGTTTGTTGTTGTTGTTTTATTTTTGGGGAGGTAGAGATCAAGACAGGCTGAAAAGAGGGTTGAAGGTTGGATGGTTCAGAAGAGAGAGATAGGGAGAGAGATAGAGACAGACAGACAGACAAAGAGAGAGGCAGGGGCTGAAGTATAGTCAAAGAAAGCTCTAGATGATGGAAAGAGGGTAAAAAAACAGGGGGTAAGGAGATGTTACTGAAAAAAACCCAACAAAATCTTGATATATCTTTTGGACTGATAAAGCATATCTGTGTCTTCGTTTTACTGCTCATTGTCAGTGTTATTTGATTTTGCTATTTCATGAGATGCGTAGCCTGACTTTTTACTGAGATAATTCTCCTTGTCTTCCCTTAGAAAGAACTAAGCCATCTATATGTACACTAGTGTACTGTTACATAACTATATTAAAATTTTGTACTATTCAGTCAGCAATTAATATTACGTGTAATTTACTACAGGAAGCAGTAATTTTACTTTAACATTTTCGAGTTCTCAATCCTGACATAGTTTTTCTCTATTTATCATTAAATGGAAAAAACATGACAGTCTGATAACACTTTTAGTTAGAATCGAACAGTAAATTTGAAATCTTACCCCGTTTCAATAGTATCAATTGATTCAGTCACTAATAAATAGTAATAAAATGTCTTTGTTTTATTCCTTTACCATATTTTTGTCCTTTAGCATTATTTAGGCTTAAAATTTTAAATAAAATAACCAAATAATGATTTTATTGTTTTTGTCAGATTACTTTGCTACCATACTGGGTACTGTTTTTCACATGGTCTTAGTATTGTTGGGGATGAAGCACCAATCAGAGGGGGAAAAGAGTAGCTTAACCGGAAAACTGTCTGCTTTATTTCAACTGTTTTTAAAATTCTAAGAATAGTTGTAGTTTTTGTCAGCATACTTCCTGACTAAACTGTTTCTTCAATTTTGACCTAAACAGAAATATGGTATTAGTATTGCAGATTTGAATGCAGTAATATTTGAAATGTTTTTGCATATTAAAAAAAAACTTTAAAAAAACCAAAAGTATAATCTAAAAAAGATTAACAAATTTTGTTCTTGTGACAAAAAGATTCTCACTGTAAATGAACATAGATTTCTTTTTCTTCTGATATAGTTCTCTAAGTTTTATAAAATCATGGATTAATTTTATTTATCAATAATAGGTTAATTGTTCTCAATTTAACACAATTTTTAATTTTAAAATCCAAAAGTTATCTCCAGTCAAATGTTCACATGTTTATGCATGAAGGTATGACTAGCTGTGTTACGTCCTGACACCCGTTGTTGTGTGTTTGAATATGTTGTTGTGAAAGTACCGGTACCGGGTAGCCTACATTGGTGTTGTGTACCGCAGGAACAAGAACCTCATCGGCAACTCGTTTTTCTGTTTGTTGTTGTCAATGTCCGGCTCTAACCGTGTATGGCAGAATATTGAATGATTGATTATCAGAAAAGTGGGAATTTTAAAGCAAATTTTTTCTTATTTTATCCCAGCATTGCTCAAAGTATCTAACCGTGTATGGCTGAACATTAATTGTCAGGAAAGTGGGGAAAAAACGTAATTTTTTCTTACTTTCTCCCAGCATTGCTCAAATTATCACATTGAGTGGGTTTTTTACAGATATTCGAGTGTCACAAATTGTAATACGCTTTGGGATTATCTCCAATTTGAGACCAAAAAAAAGGTTCATTGGTCTAATTTAACAGATATACAGAGTTAGAGTCGAGCACATAATTATTTGTATATTGTTTGATTATTTTCATGTTGTCATTTCTATTATGATGTGTGCAGCCTTCTCTCTCCTCCGTGGACTATATTCCGTCTTTGCTTTGTGATGCTTTCTCTCAGTTTCTTTTTTCTTATTTCTTCACAATATCCATCATTTAAAGTTACCTTGAAGAGTGCCAGTTTTCTTCTTCTGTACCATTCTGTTGAGTGTATGTTACACCAAGATGTTCATGCTACTGAGGTGCACAGCAGAAGACTTGATGTTAACTTTATTTGTATCTCGATAGCTATGGTGAGATAACAATTTACTATTACTGTTTTGAATTCTGAACAAACCATGGGTCTCAATATTCCGCTGTTCAGCGGATTTCGGCTGCCGCCATTTCCTCCGCAAAACTCCGCTACCGTTACTCTTTTACTTGAAATTATCTTTCAAACCCTCAAATTGGTCTGAAATGACCTTGCTTTGATAAATTGATGTTTTTAAGCAATATAATAATAATGGGTGTCTCGCGAAAATGGTCTTCTGTCACGATAATGTGGAAAGTTCCTCCTTATTTTAAAATTCAGAGTTGAGACCTATGCAATCAAGGGCTCACATTCTTCAAGCCCTGACAATGGGGTGAAATTCACTTTGATTATTTGGAGAATTATCAAGGTTCTCTGCGTACTATGCTAAGTCCTGTGGGTGGCTGGTGGGTGCTCTAGTACCTATGGGTTGCTCCTTCTTTCCCATCAAACATCTATCACCCTTATCTCTTCTTCTTCTTTTCTTTGTATGTTACTCTCTAGTAACACCTTTGATCTTCTGTGCTTAAATGACCTGTTTGTGTTGTAAGTACCGTAAAACTCTGGCTAAAGCTAAAATGTTCAGTCCCACCAGAGATGGCCTTTCAGTTTGGAGGTCCAGCATATTGGATGTCTGTACATTGTTGGAAGGGGAACTGAGCTCAAACTTTAGCAAAACTTGATGAGCTAAAGGCATTCACATGATCACAGTTTGACTTGACGAATCCTGAAGATCTATTTAAAAAGTAAAGCTGTTCCCGCATCCGATCTGGACTTTGGGGATTGCCTTGTTAGTGAGACAACTTCCTGGGCCTTCAGCATAATTTATTTTTTGTAGGGTGGCCAGTTCCTCTCCACTCCGCCTTTACTTCCCCAACTCGAAGTCAGGTACCCATTACTGCTGGGTGAGCAAGAGGGGGCGAAAAAAATCTGTGTCCGAACCAAAGTTCGAACCCGCACTTTTCGCTTCAGAGACGAGCGCACTGACCGCTCCCCCACCGCACCCTCAAAGATCTATTTAGTGTGTGATGTAATTGAAATATCTGCAAGAGGCAAGCACAACGTTTTGATGAAGAGAAAGTGAGAACATTCTTGCGCCAATATTGCTAAAGCTTCCTTTTCGTACAGCGAGTTTTTTTCTGTTTGTGACCTGTTCTGTTTATCTATCTGTGTGGGGATCTGATATTCTTTCTTTCACTCCGCAATCCTTTAGGCTACGGTGAATTCTGTGTATACTCTGTGTTGTGTATGTAGAGATGCCATTATTTTTTTCCCTGTAGTTTTTATTCTATTTTCATTCCTATTGTCTTGATATGTCATGCAGTTAGTTAATAGCTATAATTATTACCATCATTAAATAACATGCTTAGTTAATAACGAGAGGTAGTTCATTCCAAACAGATGTAAAGTTTTAGGTTTTCTTCCTTTGAGGATTGAGCCTTATTTGTTATATAATTAGCAGTAAGCCGCTTGAGGCTTGGTCCATTTATCTGAAATGTGTAAGTCATTATATGGAATTTACAAGTTCTGTTGCCCTGTGATTTTCTTTTAGGCTAGCCAATGAAGAATTAGAGAACATAAACGAATGTAATCTCTCAGGTATTCAGAACTATGGTAATATGGGATTTATGCACTTATTAGAAACTGTTAAAGAAATAATGGAAGCTGATATATGTCTATTTTAATTATTATTCTTGTTTTTATCTCAGTATCATATGGAAAGAAGCAGAGAGAGAGAGAGAGAGAGAGAG